CTGTTTCTGTTGGGGGAGAGGGGTTGAATAAGCCAGGGATTGATACCGTACTGTTTCTGTTGAGAGAGAGCGGTTAGATATGCCAGAGATTGATACCGTACTGTTTCTGTTGGGGGAGAGCGGTTGAATATGCCAAGGATTGATCCCGTACTGTTTCTGTTGGGGGAGAGCGGTTGAATATGCCAAGGATTGATATCGTACTGCTTTCTGTTTGGGGAGAGGGGTTGAATGTGCAAGGGATTGATACCGTACTGTTTCTGTAGGGGAAGAGGGATTGGATATGCCAAGGATTGATACCGTACTGCTTTCTGTTGGGGGAGAGGGGTTGAATAAGCAAAGGATTGATACCATACTGTTTCTGTTGGGGGAGAGCGGTTTAATATGCCAAGGATTGATATCGTACTGCTTTCTGTTGGGGGAGAGGGGTTGAATATGTAAAGGATTGATACCGTACTGTTTCTGTTGGGAGAGAGCGGTTGAATATGCCAAGGATTGATCCCGTACTGTTTCTGTTGGGGGAGAGCGGTTGAATATGCCAAGGATTGATACCGTACTGTTTCTGTTGGGGGAGAGCGGTTGAATATGCCAAGGATTGATACCGTACTGTTTCTGTTGGGAGAGAGGGGTTGAATATTCCAGGGATTCATACCGCACTATTTCTGTTGGGAGAGAGCGGTTGAATATGCCAGAGATTGATACCGTACTGTTTGTGTTGGGGGGAGAGGAGTTGAATATGCCAGAGATTGATACCGTACTGTTTCTGTTGGGGGAGAGGGGTTGAATATTCCAGAGATTGATACCGTACTCTTTATGTGGGGGGAGAGGGGTTGAATATGCCAAGGATTGATACCGTACTGTTTCTGTTGGGAGAGAGGGGTTGAATATTCCAGGGATTCATACCGCACTATTTCTGTTGGGAGAGAGGGGTTGAATATGCCAAGGATTGATACCGCACTGTTTCTGCGAGTGAGGGATGACTATGCCAAGTATAGGCGCTGTACTTCTACTGTATTTACAACATTGGCTGGCTATGTGTGTTTGGGATGGTGTGACACAGAGAGGTGTGATTGCCCCTGTACTGTCACCAGCCCGAACACTACAACACTACAACAATTCGGAGTAATTAAGGTCATATTTCCACAGTAACCCCGTAAAGACTCCTAGTCTTTACCTGTGTGATCGTAGTTCGCGTCAGCCATTCAAACTAGGCTATTTGCGGCGGTTGGAAGTATCACGTTAATTACTCCCTTCAGATTTGAATAGCGAACTCTTTCACTTAAACTAGCATTGCAGCGATGAGTACTGAAGACTCAATCCCATAATGTATAGCAGCTGCCGACATTTTTTTTTTTTATCTCAGTACCTGTCTAGAAATACGAGTCACTGTGTTTTCTATAAGTGTTTCATATTGGAAAATGTAGTTAATAACTTTGACCATAGCGGCTGCATTGTGTTTAAAGCTTAAAATCACCGCTTTTGAAAGATGTTATTTGATTGGTTGGAATGTTATTTAATGCTGCCTCTTTTATTTTATTGGTTGGTTGACGCGAATCACATTTACATATCAAATGGCTCAAACTTTCAGGGCATATGGAGGGGCGCAGTTTACACGGTACGCTTCTTGATATGAATGAACAGCCAGATTGTTAGCGGAACACACACTCGCTGGGCATGTCGACTGGCCACCTTCCGCATACATCCAATATATCTGTTTCAAGAGTTCGTAATGTTAATCAGTATTAACTAGATTTTAATCTAACACAACGCAGATAAATCGGTCTGAAGGTTTATCCTTAGAACTGCGGAGAAGTATTTATGGATATATATGTTCTAATTATGTTGTAATTTATATGTAAGAATGATGTTGTAATTCTAGAAAGATGTTTTACCTGAGTAACTACGGTATAGTGATATTTACATCTGTTTCTCCCGCCAGTCAAAACAAATATCTCTGTCAAATAGCCTGTGTTCATTATCCGCTAATTCGCCGATTCTCTGTCTAATGAATACACATTAATTCCTATTTACTTGTGTGTAACAAGGCTGGGGCACTTAGGCTGATGCTCATATCACTGTCAGGGATGGTAAAAGCACCACAACACATGGCCACCTTGTCGATTTCAGGATAACTCCGGTGTACATTTCAGCACTATCAGTTAGATGTACAGGGGTGCTCTCCGTCGTTATGTAATGTGTTTGGTACCAATATGACGCAAAATACAATATATAAATGTGGTTATGTGTAAAAAGGTCCTAATATATAAAATATTAAATATCACATGCTTGATAATCGTGTCACCTGATATATAGCAATAAACAATAAGAGGAAAATACACTCAATCTACAACTTTCTTATTGGATATTTATGTTGGCAACGTTCGTATAAAACGGCTTAATGCACCCTTCTCTGGATCTTTGTGTAGTAAAAGAAAATAAGTACATGAAAAAAAACCATGTTGCAAATTAGGAGTGCTTTTTAAACTGACTGGGTGAAGTTTCTTTACAAATGACGTGAATTACTTCGCACTGAAGGTTGTGACAGTGTTCGTGGTTCATATTACGTCGAATTACAAATCGCAGAACCGCTTTGGCATTAACCGATCTAACCATACTACCTGTAGTTTGCTTGAAGAAAGTATTATTTATCGCTAAAGATGACGTTTAACATTATAGGTAGGCGTGCTCTAACACTACTCACCTTGACTGCAATAAACCCTTGACTTGTGATTATGTAAAATAGTTTCATGAATTCTTCAGTAATACATTTATTACACACAGAAAGGAAATATTTCAAATTGCAAAGCGGAAATTTTTTTTTCGTAAAATAATTAAAATAAATACATAATCAGAATACAAAACTTTAGACATTTAAATAATTTGTGACAAGGCTTAATCTATTTTGCAGCCACAGAAAATCTGTGAATCAATTTGGGTTTAAACTTTTAGAACCCAAAGATTAAAACTTGAAACATATCAAATATAGCCAAATCTCTACAGTAAATGTTACATTGATTATTTTCACACGTTGATGCACGCGTTCACAAGTTAATAAATTTGTTTATCACAAATCGACCAGAGTTGTATAAAACATATAAGCTTAAACCAAATTGTTAATTAATATGAGGTTTTAGAGTAAGATTGCAATGTATTTGCATTTTATAATGCAGTAGTTGTGCATGGTGTATGGAATTAGGGTCTCAGACCAACGAAATATTTATTCTCTACACAAAGAAGTATTTTTAGATATTTAATAACAATTTCATCTGTCGTTTGACGCTCAAACCTGTGCAGAATTATTTAAACAAAGCAAACCATTTGCTTTTAAAATTACATACTGTTTCCTATGTCAATATTGGTAGTATTGATTCCGTGACGCTTCAGAACAGATGTTTTCTAACCATCGGTAACAGTTTGTTAAAATGTTCATAAAGAGTTTTTAATGAATTTGTTCCCAGCATCAATGAATAAGAATTATATATATGACATATTGACATGAAAAAATTAATCCTTAAACTGATATTATTTATTGAGTGCTAGACGCTTTTTTATAAGCTCCATTGCGCATCGTATTTCCATGAACCAATGATCTACTCAAAGGTTTTAACGTCATTTAGGAAAAAAGATGTCTGTCAAAACATGACTGCTATTAACATTTGATTAATTATAAAGACATTTTTGTGTTAGACTCGCTGTTCATCTCTTCACTGAAATGTACTGACACATGAAATGGATGATTTATATTTTCATGTTGTCAGTCATTTGCGAAACAGATGTCACGCAAATTTCGTTGTTTATTATTAAAAAAAGTGCAAGCCGACCAATTGCAGCCGTCATACATGTTTTGGTGATAAAGTTGAATAATGACTTGTTGATAGGTAAATACCATACTGTAATTGTTTCCATGGTAACACAACACGTCGGGTGATAAAGTAACAGATGTCTAGACAAAATAAATTCGCGTCTTTGATAAACCGACACAGTAACGATAAGCGAGAACAATATCGGATGATATTGGTCGAGAACATGCCCAAGCCTAATGACAGAGCGAGGTTAAAGGTCAAAGTCTGGTTGATTAATTGATTGATTGTTTGTTGTTTAACGCCCCACTCAGCAATATTCCAGCTATATGACGGCGGTCTGTAAATAATAGAGCCTGGACCAGACAATCCAGTGATTGCAATTGACATCATGAGCATCGATCTACACAATTGGGATACGATGACATGCATCTGACAACATACTCGTCAAAGATTAATGAAATATAAAGAGTGAAATAGCATGTATTACATTACACAGGAAGTATAACCATTAATGTCACGCGGAACATGGCTGAAACAAAAGGTGCAAACGTTTAACCTAAAAAACAAATAATTTAAGTCTGACAAAACGACAAGTAATACTTTTAAGGGATTTGTGATTGGTGAAAACGTCTGTCGATGACCTGGGCATTTTAGAGATTTCTCTAAACTGTTAATAGACATATTTCAAATTAAAATACTGTATATCAATTTTATGTGTTTTTTACACAAGTGGCATGTTAGGTTCTTTTTATTCCTCATAAATGCAGAGAGGAATTAAGAGATGTAAATTTTATTTCGACTCCAATAAGTCTGAAAACGACATCAAGCTACCCTGGTCTGTGAAAAAAAACACAACCCAAATAATTGATGTGTACACAGGTGGAAGATTAATCAGTTAAACATAGAATGCATGTCATCAAAGGTACTGGAAACTATTTTCAGCTATCAGTAAATCACTATGATTCCAGCGCCCTGTTCCCCAAAGAGATCGAAGGGCTACGACTATCATAAGTCTATGCTAAAAATATGGGAGTTATCATCAGCTTAGGGCTACGGCGGTCGTAAATATGGGAGTTACAACAATTTTGGCGCTACGATCGCTTTGCGGAACGGGACCAGGCACTTTTGACCCGAGTAAACACAATCAAACCAATTTGTTGGTTTACGACAATGTTTCCTAATCTTTGGTATTATTTACAGGCACGCCGCCCCGGATCCAAGCACCTACAAAATGCACACTACGTAAGCACAAACCAAACCGGAAGCCGAGAACGCCTTTCACTACGTCCCAGCTGTTAGCTCTGGAGCGGAAGTTCCGGGAGAAACAATATCTATCCATTGCGGAAAGGGCCGAGTTTTCAGCGTCCCTGAATCTGACGGAAACTCAAGTCAAAATATGGTTCCAGAACAGACGTGCAAAAGCAAAACGACTCCAAGAAGCGGAGTTAGAAAAACTTCGAATGGCAGCGAAGCCAATGTTGCCCCCGACATTTGGTATAGCAATACCATCATCCACCGCCTCCTCGGCGTCTTTATTTGGACATCATTTAAGAGCTCATTTCTTACACCCGGGGGCTTTTTCCGGTTTTGGACTTTTCCCCGGAACCTCAGGTCTGTCGCTGTATCCTCACTGACACCAGTACAACCACGTGACAGTCCTTGTGGTGCCGCAGAATACAGACACTTGGATATACAGAATTATTTTTATTTGTACCTTTTGCACAATCACTTTGAAATATGTTAAAGGCCCTCAAACAATCGGTTCCTGGGGTATTATGCAATACTTGACCACAATTACGTTTCCTTGACGAGGGCCGACACAAGGTGTGTGTTCGTCGACTTACTGGCCAGAATTAGCACTGAGTGTTTCCTTACGTTTACTTCTAGTTCAGTTGATGTTTTTGTTAATGTATTATTGTGGGAACGTGTTATAAATATTAAGCAGTTTTGGATAGTGCTCTGGTAAAAAAACTGAGGAACATAAGTGCTTATTCTTGGGAAGTTGAGACTTTGAATTTATTTTGCCCTTTGGTGGTTTTCCCCGTTCATTTAAACATAATTCGTGCCATGACCTTTGTACTGGACGCTACAGGTTGTCCAGTCTCGCCGCGACACACACCTGGCTGGACAGATAGTCTACTTATTTATTACGTGCGTCCATACTTGGTGTGTCACCGAACAGTGGGGTGCACGTCAAACAATCACTTCATTTACGAGAAGTGATTACATTTTGTTTCGTGTAAACAAACATTTATTGTAAATAAAATACTGAACAACGATTCGAGCGTTGTAGATTTTATATATATAATTTTATTTGTGATCTGCACACACTGTGAACAAAGCGTAATGTCTTTTGCTTCGCGGAAAGTTGACATTGCAAAACTTTAATCCACTTACTGAACAGGTTAAGACCCACTTACCGCTGACATAGTCAACATCATTGTCACAAAGACGCTTACAAATTATTCATGATTTGTCAGAAAATATTATAACGCCATGGTTATTATGGCTCACAAAGACATCATCATTCAACAATGCTTGCCATCTGTAGTAAAATTGATCTTGTCGCTATTTCAAACTACTCTTTCGATCTGTCTATATTATACATAAGCACAAAACAGGCTGAGAAATGTTTTGTGTATACACTGGATGAACAGTCGAGAATCTGTGTGTGTGTGTGTGTGAGTGTGTATGTGTGTGTATGTGTGTGTGAGTGTGTATGTGTGTGAGTGTGTGTGTGTGTGAGAGAGAGTGTGTGTGTGTATGTGTGTGTGTGTGTGAGTGAGTGTGTATGTGTGTGAGTGAGTGTGTGTGTGAGTGTGTGTGTATGTGTGTGTGTGAGTGTGTGTGTGTGTGAGTGTGTGTGTGTGTGTGTGTGTGTGTGTGAGAGAGAGAGAGTGTGAGTGTGTGTGTGAGTGTGTGTGTGTGAAATAAAGGGCACTACCTGTAGAGCTTTGGTATTTTAATAAGCTCACTGATTGGGAAACATTAATATGTACATGAATCAGAGGTAGCAACTCCAATACTGCAAGCTGTCCCACGTTACACTTGAGAACAAAGAGGCTGAGAAATGTGTTGCATAGATTGGACGAATCTCTCTGTGTGTGTATTTAATATTTAGTATTTTAATAAGCTCACTGATTGGGAAAGTAAAAAAGAATAACATCGACGTGAACGATCTTACAGACATAAACCAGATCAATTGAGATTGACTCACTGTCTTGTAAATACAAGTACATAATTGATTGTGGATGTAGAAGATAAGCAAGCGTCTGTGAGCTCGTGCCACACCACGTAGCATCTGCGATGACAAACTGTCCACACACGTTATCGAGACGAGATCAACTGAAATATGTTCAAAATATAAATAAATCACAGCGATAATTGCGACTGCAGAACGATTTGTGTTGTGTCAGAGCAGAAACATGCAAAACATGATCTATCAGGTAGATTTAATTGTCTTTGACTTGGGGGATATCAGCGTTAAACGATAGCATCTGTTCGAGGGACCTCCGCCAATACCAAAGCTTGTAATTTATTGTCGATATCGAAATACTCATTTGATTCGCACTCGCCGACATCTGGTTAATAAAATAAGTCTCATTACCAATTGTCTGTTTGAAATACTCCCATTACACAATACAGTCAATCGTGATGAAATAAACATGAATGTCTGTCGATTTCTTCCCAGAACAAAGGTGATGATTTCAGCGATCCAAACTAATTTACTGCCCAATTAGCTCAGTAATCGAAGACGAGTATTCAACTTTATTTCCTATTAATTACTGCTCCGAGCGACATAATAAGAAGGACACGGCCTGATTGACAGGGGATCGTTTTAATCTACGGCGTACCCAATCACGGAGAAGTCGGTATTGAATATCTATTTCTCGCAAATTAATTCCGTGAAAACCATACCTAAAAAGCCTATAGAAAACTAGTATGAATTAGACTTCCATATTGTTATTTGACCGACAGAGATAAATCTTTTATGTGTCTGTTTTCCAGCGCCAAGCGTGAAAACGGTTGATGAATGAACGAAAATAGCCACGTACATACATACATTGCGTTTGAATTCAAAGTATAATACGTTTCTCTGATCTTGACAATAAACTCAATAAGAAGTATTTACCAGACACTTTATACGGAAGAACTGATGTCAGCTGAAAGGAGCAATATTCCAAGTACATCTGATCAAGGAAACAGATGTCTATAAATTACTTGAGAGTGTTTAAGAAAGACAACGGGCCTTGAAATACACGTTTAAGGAGGTCGCATGTCGTTTACATCAAAGAATACCTTTGGGAATCTATTAAGTTATGTGGGTGAAATTAATATTTTGGGACATATATGTGTGTTTTATGGCCTGTAGATATGGTGGCGTAATAGATCAAACCTTTCTCCGAACCATAAACTTGGAATCAAGTGAGGATACAGCTAGCTTATCGCACATGTATGTCAAATAAAACTTCATTAAAAGTTCTCACAAATAATAAAAAAGTATAATGTTTGATCCGTTAAGAAAATTAGTGCAATGTACTAAAATTTGAATTTAATTTCTTGTAGGACATATACTTCAGAACTCTTTTGCTATAATGTTGATAAAATATTGCTTTCAGTGAATAAAGTGTCTTGTAGTGTAAAAAACTTGAAGAGATCCATGACTACGATGCAAACAGTGAGGACAAGCGCAATTTACTTCAGTTGCCAATTTCAAGAAATAGATGCCAGATATTGACACCGGTCTATTTCAACTCACATCTGACATGATCCAAGTTGTTAGTCGAGGTGCCAGACTAAATATTGGGATTGGTGACAGTCGGGCGCCCTATCGCTAGCGTTAATATCTTATAGAGTCTGGCGAGGAGCAACGCATGGTCTTAATGGGGCTACATTTAGTAATTTTTGTTTGGTCTTTGATGTTATACGATAGCTACTTAGCGAAGTTGAAAGTCGTCTTGCTCGGCGTGAAGGGCCTGTGCGGGGATCATGATAGCTAATACAAAGTGGATATTCATCGCAGCTCAACCGAAGAAAATTTATCGGCAAATGAGACTTTTTGATATTCTTATTATTCCATACCGTCCCAAGAGGGAAGTGCGGCATAGAGGAAGGGTCTTTAAGTTGTTCAGGGTCAACAATCACAAGACAAACTCACTCAGCCGTACAGACGATTCTCACAGTATAATAGCATACTACCTACAAAGCACATCATTAGCTAATTTACAAATAGGTGTGAACAGAGAGTTAATTAATCTTTAGACAATTTCCTACGGAGCCGGAGGCCCGTGCATGACTTATAGGGCAGTGCTGAACCAGCTTGGCGCGAAATTCGTCTCCAAATGACGTCTGGCGACTATCGGGGACGATCTGAGATGAGAAATGGGCCCCCGAGTTGGCAAATCCTTCTCAGCGAGTCGCCTGGGCTCTCTTTGCTCGTTTTCAGCGAATATGTGGCATAATGGGGTATGAAATTGAAGCTATATTGTAATGGAAATGATATCAGAGCATCTTCGATATCTGATTATCAATATATTATGATCAATAGAAGATTAGAACTCCTGTTGGCGCCATGATTGCCATTTGTCAAACGCTGTGATTGATTTTAAAGCCTGGTGATTTTGACAAAGCTATTCACGGCTCGGGGATCAAGTGCAATACCGCTGTTTAAAGGAGGGTCATTTTGTTATGTGATTCATGTAACTCTTTCATCTCTGAGCTGTAATTCATACAGGTAGTTAGCCATTTTATCAAACACTTTTACAACAATTAGCAATAGTCAGCGTGGGTGTGATGTAGTTGGCCGAATTTCAACCTTATCGTCAATGAGTTATATGTAAAAGCAAGACGTCTAAATGTATGATATTCAATCTAAATTACTGAAAGATGTTTCAAGTTTCACGAAGCAAACACGACCGCGTCAACGACCCAAATGGCCGGTATTATTTACTGAAAATGATTGTGTCTAGTCTCCTGATGTAAACAGTGGTTACCAGATGTAGTCGACAATGCGTTGATATTTCCCCAGAAAATCTTTTCACGCTCAGAATATCATGGATCGCACATAATGAACGGCTGCGTACTGTCTACGTCCCCTTAAGACTCGCATAGATGTGTTCCACAATCCGCATACATTCTTCATGCAGCTCAAAGAGCGTCACCCATACAACCCAGGACGACGTAAAGCGTTTTCCATGCAGTCTCCACTGTAAGAACAAGGCCTTTACATTTTCCTTTTGAATGTCTGTGACCATACAAAATACACTCAATCAGTTTATTGTGATAACAGAGAATATTATAGCTGTGAATTTAAGTAATAAAATCAGTTGAATGTTTTTAAATTGGTTGGACACAATGTTGAGGACCTCCATCTGCTCTTAATGGATCAAGCAGTCATCAATTTGCCTCTCAGACATTTATGTGTTGTGTGTTTCACACGTTTCTCGTGCACGTGGATTCCTATATCTTAATTGATGATATGATTTGTAAATTACATTGAATCTGTAATTTTACTGGTGCTTCCACACTGTCGTGAAGGAAATAGGCCTTTTATGTACCCCAAAGCTCACTAATAAACTACATGCACCTCTGCGGTTAATGCTGCTGCTTCTGCTGTTAATACTGCTACTTCTGCTGTTAATGTTACTACTTCTGCTTTTAATACTGCTACTTCTGCTGTTAATGCTGCTACTTCTGCTGTTAATGCTGCTATTTCTGCTGTTGATGCTGCTAATGCTGCTACTTCTGCTGTTGATATTGCTACTTCTGCTGTTAACACTGCTACTTCTTCTGTTAATGCTGCTACTTCTGCTGTTAACACTGCTACTTTTGCTGTCTGCTGTTAATACTGCTACTTCTGCTGTTAATGCTGCTACTTCTGCTATCAATGTTACTACTTCTGCTGTTAATGCTGCTACTTCTGCTGTTAATGCTGCTACTTCTGCTATTAATGCTGCTACTTCTGCTGTTAATGCTGCTACTTCTGCTGTTAATGCTGCTACTTCTGCTGTTAATGCTGCTACTTCTGCTTTTGATACTGCTACTTCTGGTGTTGCCACTTCTGCTGTTAATGCTGCCACCTCTGCTGTCTGCTGTTAATACTGCTACTTCTGCTGTTAATGCTGCTACTTCTGCTATTAATGCTACTACTTCTGTTGTTGATACTGCTACTTCTGCTATTTATACTGCTACTTCTACTGTTAATGCTACTACTTCTGCTGTTAATGCTGCTACCTCTGCTATTACTGCTGCTACTTCTACTGGTAATGCTGCCATGTCT